ATCAACGGATTATAACTGCCAGAGAACTCTCAATCGTGAGATTGAAGAAGCCAATGGTCAAGTGGCTGCTGCTTGGCATGCTGCTACTGAATCATCTTCTAGGGTAAAGGATTTGTCGAAGGCCCAGGGGGATAGACAAAAAGCGGTCGAGGAGATAGATCGAGATAATGCTCAACTGAGGGTGCAAATTGCAGAGTTGGAAGCTAAAATTGCTGCCAACGACAAAAAGAAAGAGGAACTTCTTATTGTGAACACTGAATCAGAGAGCCGAGAAGAATTGGCTGAAGGATTAAGACATGCCGATCGAGCTCAATCTCTGGATGCTAAGCTCAAGACCCTTCATCAATCGAAAGCTCTATGTGATCGACGACTAGAATTGCAAAGAATCAAGTATCTCCAGATTAAAGCTAATCTTCCCTTTTAAATCTTGTTTCTCTCATTTATGTAATCACTTTTTATAACAATTTCAAAGCCATTTTGGCACTTTTAATGAAATTTTTAAGTTTCCACAAGTCACTCAAACATTATCCAAGTAACTGCTGCGTGAGAAAGGATAACGATTGAGAAATGTACGTTAGAAACACCTTTTTTCCTTAATGAAAGTCCTTTACATTACTTTACTATTATCCTGCAAAGTTATCTTTTTTTACTTCTTTTACTTGCATTTCTATATTTCTGTTTACTTTTCCAAAATCTTAAACATCCTTTCTCTGGGTCGAACGTGCGTTCTTCCTGCTTATCCATTTTTACATAAATATTAGCATATGTCCTGGGATTAATCTGATCGATCCCGTAAGTAAACCAAAAAGAACTTACCTTTTTGGAGATCAGCGGTTGTTTACCAAAAACAACGGTAACTTAAATAGTGGTGGAAAGAGCTATATATGCTTCTGTTTCACTTAAGCATTTCAAAAGCACACCTTCCGGTGTTTTCTTAAATAGTTCATTTCCCATCAACACATAACTCAACGCTCTGTACTTTATCTTTCGTTCTGCCGAAGCCGCTAGATTTTGTAAATAGTCCACTACAGGCTTTCTCCAATCTTGCTCTGTTAGATTGTCTATGAACGAAATTTCAAAATTTTCATGATCAGTGTATCCTAACGTTGTGGTCCTTAAATCCGATGGAGATAACTTAGTGGCAGTTACTCTCCCTCTAACTTCGATTGCTTGTTGTAGCCTATCTTTCGAAACTTTATACCCAGAAGCAATTTGTGCCAAGTCGTTGGCTGTTTGATTTTCCAATCTGGGAATGTGTCGAATGTTAACTGCCTCGAAGTTCTTTAACAACCGTCTGGCTATTACGAAATACATGATAAGGTTTTCTTTTATGTATTTGTATTCTTTCGTAATTTGTTTTAGGACTAACTCTGAGTCTCCCATTATTTCGACTTGAGTTTCCCCCAATTCCAACAGGATTTCAAGGCCTACGATTAACGCTTCATATTCAGCCCCATTATTGGAGCAACCCCGTCTATTTTGTACTTAAATGTTGTTGGAATTTTGTTTGGAGAAATAATAAGGACTCCGACTCCAACTCTATCTTTATAACTAAACCCATCAAAGTAAAGTTTCCACGGTTCGCTCTCCAAATAATTCAGTGATCTTTCTTGTATAGAGTGGTCGACTATAAATTCTGCGACCACTTGACCTTTTATAGCCTTGAGAGGCATAAAGGTTAATGAGTACTCAGTTAATGCAAGTGCCCATTTGCCAATTCTACTGTGCAAAATGGGTTTCGACAACATATATTTGAAAACGTCAAAATGAGACTGTTGTACCCCAAAATTTTCCCTCTCATATTCCTCAAAACATTTCAAGAAAAATCTCCAAGTGGCTCAAGGTTGCTCAAGAGTGGGTCAGACAAGTCATCTCCTAAGGCAGTCAACCCCAAATTAGAGTTTTGTGTTGCATAAAGATCCTTGAGTCCAAATGACCTCAAGTGCTCCCCAATGTCCTAATATGTTCTTAAGGTCATCCATGTAAAATTTTAAGCCTTGTAGAGGAAGTTTGGCCAGTCAATTGCTCAAAGGGTCCAAAAATTGACAGTGCTAGGGCAAAAGTCAACTGTGACCTATAAACAGTCAAACTTCAAGATTTCTTGTCAAAATTCTCATTTTGAAGGATATTTCATCATTTGATCAAGGGTTGATCATGATTCATCAAGGATTGCTCAAAATTCACCAAGACTCAAAAGTTGCTAAATTAGGGTTTTGGAGAAAAAGTCAACTCAACTTTGACCAAGCATAACTTTCTCATAATTTATGAGAAATGACCAATCCAAAGCTCATTTTTAATAGGATGAAATTTCCTATAATCCATCTTCATACCCCAAGATCAGAAAATGTAATCAAAAGAAGTTATAAATTTGGACATTATAGGTCATTTTTGAAAGTCAACAAAAACACCTTTTTTTCCAAATCTTATAACTTGAGCATGGAATATAAAAATGAGATGAGACAAAAATTGATTGTTAGAGGACATCTCAAGCTTTCTAAAAAGTCCAAGAACACTTCCAAAAGTTAAAAATTGAAGAAGTTATGCATTGTTGAAGTTGGGCATTTTTGCAAAATTGCCAAAAATCAACTATCCCCAAAACTTCAAATTTTGTCAAATAAGCCCATTCTTTTCCACTTGATTTGAGCTTCCCCTATTGCACACGTGTCCTAGCTTCAGCCTTGAGATCATATTTCTTTTTTATTATTTTATTTGATTTTTTATTGAATTATTTCATTTTAAATCAAATTAAATCAAATAAAATCCAAATATTGATTACTTGAGATCTTTTTGGCTATTTCAGGTTGAGATCATCATCATTAAGAGCATCAAATTCGTATCACACAAGATCATGTGCAAAAAGATGGATTTTTGACAAATTTGGAAAGCTTTCAAAAGGAGATCAAATCAAATATGGGTGCATTGATTTAGAGAGATTGAATCCATGATTCTTAACCTAATGCATTCCATAATACATAAGGAAGCTTAAGACACGAAAACAAGGGTTAGAGGCTGTAAGAACAAGCAAAACAAAACTTGAAAAAGTGGTGAAAAAGTTGGAATTCGAAATCATAGCAAGGGAGGTTTTCAGAAGCCAAGAAGCATTCCAATCGATTCCTGGGTGATCACATAACCCTCCTGGATCCAAAGCACGCATTCTCAAGCCTTCGAGAGCTCTGTAAGTATCACGATGCCAAGCTCTGTTCTTGAAACCGTACATCCTCATTCTTGCATCATTTGAATCAATTCTTGGCATATTTATGATCCTTACAGCATTTCTAAACTTTTGGCAATATTTAATTTAATTTATATGGACTGTAACCTCATAATATCATGGCTAGGGTTACGTTTTGGTTTTTAGGGATTTTTTTTGCAGATGAAATTGGTTCCTATAATAGGCATGGTTGCACTCAGGAGAGGGAGACGAACCTAACCATGCCTTTGAAGGTCGTTTTTATGGTCTGGAATTGATTTTTGGATCGAGCCACGCTTTTAGCTGCGGATTCAAATCGGCAGGTAAAATTACAGGAACTGGAGGTAGGGGACGATGGCGTGTCGCTCCCCTAGTGGCCAATTCAAATAAGGGCGCGCATTGTTTTGTTTTTTCTGGCATATTAACGTATTTTAACATATTATATTTTGTTCTTATATTATTAAAAATTGAAGCGAATGACCTAGTGGTAAAGGGAGCTGGCAGTCACGTACAGGACCTGGGTTCGAATCCCAGGTCCCCATACTCTTTGTTATTTTTCTTCTTCATGTAATCAGGTGCAAATCTAGGCTTGCAACTCACCATGTTGTCATACCCCAAATTTGCCCTACCTTAATCTAGGGTTTTCTTCAAATAAATTTTATTATTTAGTTTTCACCTTTATAGGGGTATTTAAAGTCAAAGGGGTGTGTTGATGTAAAATATACCATCAATATCTGATGGTCCATTAAGTCTTAAAATTTGTTTCAAGTTTAAGAGGGGGGTGTATTATAAGAAGAATGGGTGTGCGGGATTTATAAATTCTGAATTGACTCTATAGCCTAATTAGAGGGTTTGAAGCCCATTCTTTTTTTTGACTAAGCCAATATTTGTTTAAGTACTATTATTTGTTTAATCAGCATCATAGTTCATAATCAATATTAGTGATGCCATATGGTTAATTTTTGTTGTCAAATTTACTTTATTATTTTTTAAACTAAAGTCAATATCTGACTTTAAGTTTATTATTAACATTTCTTTTTATTATTAATTATATTAATTTTAGTTAAAACATTGTATCAAATAATTAAATAAAAATAATGTTGGGTTTTGTTGAATGTTAGAAGTCTTACAGCCCAATCGGTGGCCCATTTAGCCTTTTTTATTTCAAAGCGAATTTGATTAAACTTTTTTTCCTTTTTATTAAATTTCTTTTTTATTGAACATAAACAATTTTTATTTTTAATATTTTTTACAGAAAACATCCCAATTATTTTGGGCCCGCTTTATTTATTCGCTGTATAAAAAAAGGGTGGCCAATTCATCTGTTAACGTTTGTTTGTTTCAAATGAGAAAAAAGCGCCTTGGCCTAAGTTTAGCATCAATGGCCCATTTTTTTAAAACATTTACTGTGGAGATTCATCTGCGCGCATGGGGTAAGGGATTTGTTATTCTAATTCTTTGAAACGCAGTAAATGGTAATAAGACACGTCAATCCAAATCTGGAAATGTTTTCAAAAATGAAAAAAACAACTCAATAACTGTCCAAATAATTACAGACAACAAATTCAAATCCTTTCCTAAAGCTTAAAAAACTAATTTAATAAATTTCCTATTCTGCTAAAATATAATTCCTATAAGAGGGGGGAAGAAACTATTACAGTAGAAACAACAGCCGATTCTGCGACGTTCATGATCCGCCTCAAACCACCCGCAACACAACTCTGAGATCTTCCCCTCTCAGTGTATATCCCGCCGCGAGATTTCAACAAAAACAACTATCTCCACCCAGCCTTGCAACGAATCCACCAAGCTACTGCTCAAATCCCTCCACCGCGAAGCTCCCTCCAACGACGACCCAGCTCGCCGTGCTCAGCCCAGCCGTGAGCTCACCCGGTCGCACATACCCACCAGATCCGCCTCCCTCTGATTCGCATCCCCGCTGCAACAACGCGACGCCAATCGCGACCTCACAAGCCCTTCCATCGGCCAACATCGTCCAACTATGAATCACCGGAAATCTGTTGACATCCATCACCATCCAAGTTTCGTTCCAGTAATTGCGTTTTTGTCGGCATCATGTTGAAAGTGTTGTTTTTTTTCTTTGATTTTTTTTTGAAAAGAAAATGGAGACAGAGAAAAGGGAGTAGAGGAAGTGAAAGAGATGGTGAAACCTTATCCCTGTTCGGTGTTATATCAGGTAGTATTAATTTTATTTTTATTTTTCTTTCCATCACCATGGGTCGGCCTAACATTGGTCCCAAGAATTGAAGACATAGAAAAGGACTATTTGTTTGGTTTTGTTTCACAGGTACCCAATTTCTTTATATTCCATGTTCATTTGCTTATTTTAATTATTAATTAATATGATACAATGTCTAACATGAATTGTTGGTATTTCATTCCAATTCACGTTACAATAAGACAATCCCTATAAACTAATCCCTTATTTCTTTTTGCTTTGATTTTTTTTATTTAATCAAACTGCTTAATTGAAAAAAATAGGTTTTTGTTTGATTTACATGGGCATTGGGCCTCTTTACTATTCTCAAACAGTCAGTTTTACTTCTCTATTTTTGCTTAATTTATTTAATTCGAAGATATATTTTAATTTTGTACAATGCTTTCAAATAAATTTAAATTGATGATTACATCAAATTTCCTTTTAATATACTTATTACCATAAAATAATACCAGCAATAATTAGGCCAAGTTAACTATCGGTTTGGTCACTTTGTTTATTTAAAATAGCCCATTACGACTTATATATATATATATATATATATATATATATATATATATATATATATATATATATATATATATATATATATATATATATATATATATATATATATATATATATATATATATATATATATATATATATATATATATATATATATATATATATATATATATATATATATATATATATATATATATATATATATATATATATATATATGTATATATAAAATTTCTCAACTAATTTATCTTTATCTTCTATTTATAAATAAATTGCTAATTTGTAAACTAATTTGTTAATAAATTTTAATTAATTCGAACATTCTATAAATAATTGGATGTTTATCTCTGAGTAATTAAATCGGTTAACACATCGTCTACCGACTTACTATTCAAAATCAAAATAATTAAAATCCGTGTAATTCCAAATATTCCATCCGCAAGTGACATGTTGTCAATATTTGGCCACGTGACGAGGGAGACTTTATCAGACTCCTTCCGCATCCTTCACGACGAGTAACGCGCGGCCAATATATGGCCGCGTGACGAGGAGACTATATCAGACTCCTTTGCTCTATGTATAAAAATACGCAAACGAACGTCAAATAATTTTATTAATAAATTAAATCAAACAAATAATCTTCAAAAAGGAATGCGAATATATTTAAATTAACCGCGTACTTGGCCTAACAAATTCCACTATTCACACTCTTAGACCATGTATGCTGGAAATTCAAATATATTTCGCAATCCATAAAAAATACTAACAACACCGCGAACTACGAAAATAAGACTCTGATTCCTCCTAAGGAGGATACGTAGGCATACGATCAAAAATCGTTGCGAGTCCCCCTAACTAAAATTAAAACCCTTTTCCACTAATTATACTTAAAAACCCTATTTCCTAATAATGCGCTTCTAAACCTAGTATCCTTGTGAACAAGGTAGATGAGGGGTGCCTAACACCTTCCCCTCGTCTAGAACCGAGTCAAACTTAGAATCTCTGAATGACTTTTAGGGTTATTCCTTTATACTCCCTTCCTTTAGGATAAAAATTAAGGGTGACGACTCTATCTAAAAACCAGTTGCAACACATGTGCCTTCACGTATCAAAGTGCCAGATGGCCCAAGGCCAAATCTGGGGATCCAGGAGTGAGGGTCTATCATAGATCTAGTCAATGCGCACACAGCAAATCCAGGGAGGTCAACCAGGCCAGCGCTTAATGGGCCATAGAATTGCTATTCTGACCCCCAAAACAGGCCCATACTCCTCTCTCTCTCTATATATTTTATTTTATTTTGTTTTAATAATTTATTTATTATTTCTATTTAATAACTAACCAATCAATTTTTTTCCTTTATAAAATTAAAACCAAAAAATATTTTTCTTTATTAAATTAAATTTTAGTATTTTATATTTTTATTAACAAATCTATTAATTAATTTAGGCTATTAATTAGAAATAACTTTAATATATTTTTTGTAAATAATTAAAAATAATTAGACTTAATTAGGTTTTTTTACTAATATTAATTTATTTTATTTTATTTCTTTAAATACCAAAAATCCAAAAAAATAATTTATTTTCATTAATTAATTAATTAATTTATTAATTTAATAATTAACTTAGGTAATTTTTTTCTTAATTCAAAAACAACCAAAAAAAATATTTTCTTTAACAAAAAGGGGTCAAAACCCTAAACTCGCACTCGATTTAATTTTCTGCACGCGATCTATTTATTCAATATTGTACTTGTTCCCGGAATGTAATAGATAATTAGGACCCTTTAATTATTTTTATCGCTTTATTTATTTTTCCGCATTTAAATTTCAAGGGGTTGCTTTTGGCGATGTAAATACCCGACGTCTTGTAACTTAATTTCCGCAATTTATTTTCCGCAAAATATAACTGTTAGGTGTTTGATAATAGAGATGCATGACAAGATTGAATGTTTTAACCTAAAATCAATTTAGGTCACCATTAACATGTACAAAAGACAAAAATTAATTGAAAATGACACACTCGCACATGCGCACTCTTAGGGTACACCCCACTTGGTTGCCTTCGTACGCGGTCATTGAGTATAGGTCACTTTAGAGGTCGTCCTCTTGTCCAAAGATCATAGTTGCCACGAAACGGTTGCCTCAAATATTGTTGCCTCAAACAAATTATCTAAGACATTAGGGTTACCGCTAAGGCGTCCTAACATTGCTTTGGTGACCGTAAGTCCCGCATTCGAATTGACCCTTAAACTCCGACGACGGTGTTACCTACTCATCAATAGTAGAATAGTATTGTCTAAAGGAAGATAGCATAGAACGATTCCTTTTTCGAGTAGGTAGATGGTTCTTAGATACTTGCTCTTTCAAAAAACAAAACCTTTTTCACACTTACACTCCTTTTCGAACAAAGTTTTCAAAAACACTTCATTACACTCTTGAGGACAAAAGCAAGAGTTAAATCGAAGTTTTCAAAATAAAAACTTTTTCAAACCCACAAAGCACAAAGAAAACCATTTTGAAAACAATATGAGCAAGTACCTAAGAGCCCGTGGATAACCACGGATAGAAAGGGTGCTAACACCTTCCCTTTCTATAATCTACCCCCCGAACCCGAGAAATATCTCAAAAAGGAATTTTTCTGTGCTTTTTTCCTTTCCTTGTTGGATAAAATAAAAGTCGGTGGCGACTCATGCTTACCGCGACATTTTGCTAAAACAAACACAAAACGCAAACTAGCATTTCCCAAAAACAGTCAGTTCTTTCCCACCGTATCACAGAACTGGCGACTCTGCTGGGGAACTCTTAATAAGTGGGGTGTACCTTAGGAATAGTTCATATTGTTTTCAATTACTTGACTTGTATGATTTATCTTTGTGGGTTTGAATCAGAGTTACTATAGATCCTAACCCGGATCTGGGGGATACTCTTTAGGTAAGTAGCAATAAACTGTGAGGGAACTGTACAGCGTAGACCGATACGGTTGAAGCAGTAGCTACGTTGGTGTGGCACTTTAGTATGTACCGATATCCCTTTTGGCGCAACGAGGAGAATATGGGTCTGCTAAGGGGTCATTAAGCACCAACTGACCCTAGAACCTTTAAATTGACCAACTTGGCCATAGAACAGTAGCATTATGCTACACTCATTGAGACTAAACTCTCGCGATGATTCCGGCCGCAAGAAAAGGTTGCTAAACTGGAATTATGACCGATCGAGGATAGTCAGTGATATTGAGATCCTCTAGAACCCGGTTACTATTTTTAGGACAGGCTTAAACCAATTGAACTGAAATAGGGTAGTACCTAGACTCCTTGCCAGCCTGAAATCTAAGGGCTCTCTGTGTGACTTGTGTGCCTTTACCATGTTTGCTATTTGTGGATACTTGTGGTGTGCTTTCTATCATGACATCATGACATCATAACATTGCATACATCTTTCATTGGACTAACCTATTTCAAAGACAGGAGGGATTCATCTTTGTTCTATTTTGTAGGTCATGACACCTATGCGTAGAAACACCATCTGGATCAACTTTGTCCAGGTTCCCACTCTGCTTAAAGAATTGGTTTCAAAGATGCCTGATACTACCTCCTTCATCAGAAGACATGGGCATCTTCTTGGTTTGGTCACTTCCAAATTGGACGAGCAGATGATGAGTGTCCTAGTCCAGTTCTTTGATCCACTGTACCATTGCTTTACTTTTCAGGACTACCAGTTGGTCCCTACCTTGGAAGAGTTTTCTGATCTGCTCGATATCTCTATTCTGGAGCAGACCCCATTTACAGGTTGGGAGAAGATCCTTAGGCCAGAAGAGATTGCTTCAGCCCTTCATATGACAAAGGCTGGGGTAATGGCTAATTGGGAAACTCGTAGTGGAGCAAAGGGATTTTTCACTAAGTTCTTGGTTGGTAAGGCTAATCATTTCTGGGATAGTATAGATTTCCAGGCATTCGAAGATATTCTGGCTCTTCTGATATATGGCTTGGTATTGTTTCCTAACTCTGACTCCTTTGTTGATGTGAATGCGGTAAAAATCTTCATCTCTGGTAATCCTGTACCCACTCTCTTGGGTGACATTCTTCATCAGCTTTATGCCCGTACTGCTCGGAAGCGGGGAACCTTAATGTGCTGTGCTCCGTTATTGGCGAGGTGGTTTATTTCTCACCTCCCCAAATCAGTTTTAAAGAACAAGGAAGGCATGGGCTGGGCTTATAGGGTGATGTCTCTCTCTCACAATGACATCATTTGGACTATTAAGGGTATGGACGAGGTGGCCATTATTGATCGCTGTGGGGAATACCCCAATGTTCCACTGATAGGAACCAATGGAGGAATTACTTACAATCCATGCTTGGCCTTACGTCAGTTCGGGCGAGCCAGAAGGTAAGGACCTCATGAGCTGCTAATGCCTAGTATAATCTTTGATTTCCAAGGGGATAGTGACGAGCAACGCCGCAGATTCATAAGGGCTTGGGATAGAGTACACAGATCTGATCTACACGAG